GAAGAATCCTTAGATTTCAAGTATGTACCGCAAGCCATTTTAAATATCATGCGCGCAAGGTCGAAACATGACGAAACATTTTGTCACACAACGGATTAAATTACAAAAATATATGTGGCAACACAAACTTTCTGGTTACTAGATTCCAAAGAAGCTATATTATGTAGTCAGCTGTAAAAAGTTGAAAGTAATTGCCTTTAAAATAAATAAAATATCCCAATTCTTGCAACAGTCACATATTCGAAGATCACAATGGGTTAAAGGTGTATGAGCCCCCTTAACATAAATAATTGACGCCTATGAAAAGTATGCGAAGAAATTATGGATCATTTGAAAATATTGCCAAAGTCATTGGATGGGTATTTTAACGGTGGAGAGCTGAAAACATCGGAACATGGGTTATAAACCCATACTGTTTCAATTTGGATAAATATGTCGGATGATGAAGAATGGATAGATCTTTTAGAATTGCTCACAAATCGTGGTCTTGAAATGCAGCCTGAAATTAATATTTGGCGGCAACATTAGTATTCGGCAATGAATATGTTCTCAGGACTTAGTGAAATCATCTAGGAATATTAATTATGCTTATTCCATTTGCATCGACTTATATATGTGAGTCTGGATTTATCACCCTTTTGTCAATCAAAATGCATTTCAGAAAACGCTTTGGATGTACAAGCGAATATGCGAATCAAAGTGCCCCAGTTGAAAAACGTTTTCCAATTAAAGGGACTGAAATGCCATTATATTTCTTCTATTGAAGGATTTATGCCAATGTTAATTTTTGTGATGGATTATTTTTTTCCATGTTTCTTTTTTTATTATTAAAATTTCATTTGACAGTTTTGATTTCTTTTTTTCTTAAAAAAACGGCTTTAGGATGGCGAAAATATATATAAACGTTTTACGGTAATTAATGAATTAGGGTAACTGATTTTAGTTTCTAATTTCCACAAAATTTATCATAAACCACAAAACGCATTCAGTGAGAATCCTCATCGTATGCTTTCTAATGATAATTATCGGTACTAAATAACATTTTGATAGCTTGGTGAACTGCAGTGAAATCTTATCTTTTTTTCTTGGTTGTTTGAAGACCATTTTTTATGATTTACGATACTATATATCTTTGTTCAAGTTATCCAGAAGTTTCAGAAGTCTTTCCGTCATTATTTCTACATTCACGTTGCAATTTTTATTCGCAAAGCATGTTTTAATCCTTAAAAAACCGACGTCTTCACTAAACTGTGCACTTAAAATAAGGAAACTACCGTCCCCGTCTGTTACCGCACAAAGAAGTGTGACTATTTCAAATGACATTTGAAAAGAAAAACATATTGCAATTTCAACCGTTTCGGGCAGTTGTAATCGTTTGAATGAAGTGTCATCTCAGGCGTTGTGGGCTTCAAAGGATTAATCAGATGCAATTCTAAAGGAACATATGTTCATCAAATAGTTCACAGTTAATTATTTTTCATTATAAATCAGAAACAAACTCGCCAGTTTCACTCATAGCTGATGTATGATACTTATCAGCCTTAAAAAAAGGACCGATAGTTTTTCGAAAAACTCAGAAAATTCGATTTGATTCGATAACAGAATCCTTAGATTACTTTGTACAAATCAATTCCTGAAACACTTATTGGAGGTGTTAAGGCAACAAAAATCAGCGTAATATTCATAAATTTTCAGAACTAGATTCGAAGGCTCAAAAGAAAGATATACATCCTCTGTTGCCTAAAACGGTAGGACAGAAAATCACATTTCTATTCATCCATAGCCAAAATTATTCAAAAGTGATCTTGTGTTCGCCAATTACATTTTATAGAGGCGTTTCCCATTTATAACAAGTTTCAGATTCAGTTAACAATCCAAATTCCAATTCATCATTACCCTTAGCTATTAAGGAAATTATTTCATAGTTGTTTTCATTTTTTACCAATAAATTGCGCCATCAGTTTTATTTCTTTCTTCTCACTGTTATCGCTGAGCACAGACTTTTCTTCTGCCATTTACACTTCTGCAGCTGAAGAAAAGTATTCTCTATTTAAACCTTCAAAACTAGAAATTTATGAATATTAATCTGATTCTTGTTGTCTTAACATCTCCAATAATCGTTATTTGGCGTGTTGTTTTAACTCAGCTTGTAAACCACACTGTCGTTTCTCGTTACAAATTTTTGAAGCCTAAAATGCTCTCAAAAATTTTCGCGTTATGATGCAATCTCACATTCGAGAGTAAAAAACATTCCACAAGCGGAAATCTGAGGAATGAGGGAGATAATTAAGAACAAATATAATTTTGTTAGCAATGAGCCTTTTGATGACAACTGCATTGTACAATGGAAACCTTTTTGTTCTCGTTGTTCAGTCATTAAAACATAACTGCTGATTTCGACTGCTGTTCATTCATCAGCGTGTGAGTGGGCTGTGTCAACTGGAAGAGAATCAGCAAATGGAGACTTCAAAAAGGAAAGATTCACAGTATTTACGATGTTACGAGGGAAAATATGTAAGACATTAAAGTTTGTTAGCGTTATTTTAAAGAAACAAATGTAAACGCTAAAGCTATAATCACATTAGGATTCCAAATACTCGAATTAAATGGTATTATAGCTCATACAGATTTTCGAAAAATTCAGGTAATTAGCGTAGTATTTATTTTGCTTAGTTCACATGCATTTAAATATGACATAATTATCTTTTAGTACATTTAAATTGTTCTCTGTTACTTATATAGAATATATTAGAGAGAATTAAGCTTCAGAAGAGGCATACCTGCATGGTTACGTTCCAACTATTTCAAATAGTTCAATATTAATTCAGTTTTTGCAGATGAATTGAGACTGTCATATTGTTATTGTATATTTTGTGAAGTGTTTCTGCTTATATAATTGCAACATTGTTACATTAAAATTCATCGCAACTTTACTCAGAGCTATCATGATACTTTAAAATTTCAGTCTTTTGGCTTCTGTTAAAGGTTTATGTTTTGAACGCATTGCTTCATCAATGATTTAATAGGCTTTCCACGAAGTTTCTGAACAACTTTTCCCTATTATCATGAGCACTCTGTAAGAAGGAGTGAAGCGGATTTTTGTGGTGCTATTACACATGTACTAAATGTTTTTCTCAACTATTTGTTTTAGTTTAATATACGAATAATGTTAGGATTTGGAGATCAGAGAATTCTCATGCCACGAGGCAGTTGAAGGAAAGCAACCTGAAGAGAACGCTTAGTGTGCGATACTGCATGACAAGATTTTTAGGATCATATTTTTTCCGTGAATAAACAATAACAGCTAGAGTTTACCTCAATGAATTGATTAATTGCATTTGCTTACAGATAGAGAACCACCAGTCAGGTCATTTTGCCACATGTCAAGGTTGTGTAAGTGTTATTTGTCGCAGAAACTTTGAACCTTGCTTTTGAAAGTGTGACCAGTATCAAAGATATAAGTTATTCTATTCTCAAGCAATAAGCTTTTAATGTTGTTCAGGGACTTTGCGAACACCTTGTATTTCTCCTGCTTCTAAGTAAATTTTAATTCAAATGACAAATTATAAATTATTCTGAAAACTAAATCATTTTCGCATTTTCCCTATTAATTATTTTAGGAGTATTTTTTTTCCTTTAGGAAATGTAAAAACTACTTTATCTAAAGAGAAAATATTTACCAAGGTTTTACTGGACCCATTTATTAAATGAAGTGACGTTTAATGTCCTGGAAATTTGTATTATATGGTGTATGGATTTAAATTATAATTAAGATGACTATTTAAAACAGTCTCAATATTATATGTAGGTGGTTTAGAAGAATTAGTTGTTCGTACTAAGTACATTTTTTAAGAAGTCTTTAAATTATAATTTCAAAAAATGTTTTTCTTGCATAAAGAGGGCTTTTTGTGTTCTCATGATACAAATACTGCTTCCTGAAGATTCTCATTTATTTTGACATTTTTGACGACCATAAAGTGCAAAACTTTCTGGAGTATTCAAATACAGTTGACCGCAACAAATTAAAAAAAGTGTTGGTAGTTAGGAAATAAATTAGAGATAATTGTAAATAGAGATTATTGTTTTATTCAACAAGAAATATTAAATAGCGGTCATATGAAATGATGTTAAAGTGTTATCATTGTCACCACTATTAAATAAATGAGTTATAATCCATTATTAAGAAAGGAGTTTTTTTTTTCCTCAGCGTATATTGAATACTATTCTGTTATCAGGAGACTGATTTGGACCTCAGAGGCATATTCAAGACCTTTATGGCAAGCGTGTAAGAGATAGCTTTAGTATTTCTACAAAATAATATTGAAATTGTGTTACATAGTATTATGCATACCTCATAGAATGTAGCTCAAGAACAATGAAGGATTAAAATCAATAGTTTGATGAGAATTAAGAGTATTTGCGAAATTTGATGATTAAAAATGTTTTTTTTAGCTGTAATCAATATTTAAATTGTATGCAATTTATAAAATTTAATATTCAGTGTCTAATTTAATTTTGATTTTTCAAAAGTTATCTGCATCTTGTCATATACAACTCTGCTTGCCTTAAATCTGCTATTAAAACTTTTATATAATGTTATAAAAACATTTTATCTAAAGGCATTAAGTATATACTATCTGTATTTTAATTGCCCCCTAAACAGTGTGAAAGCAGCCGTAGCAGCAATAAATTTATATCATATTTGCTCGCGTATTTTCTCCCTTTTTTTCTAATTTTACAGTGTGAAAATCTAGAGGAGAAAATTATGTCAATAATTTAATATCCGAAGAATGTGGCTGCAATAAGAACATAACATGTGAAAAATGTTCGTGGATAAACTGCTTTAAACTATCACAATATTATTTATTTAAAAAAACCTACGTTCTAAGAAGATTACAGAGCAATATATATAAGCTAAAAAGATATCGTCATTTCTATTTCCTGTATCTTGAGTCTCATTCACTTTTATTTATGTCCAGTGCTACTCCTTAAGCCTCAAATCATTTAATGCTGCTGGAACTGCTGTCAGTGTCGTCTCCTACAGCTTGCAAGTCGTTGTCATTGTCTTTGTTACCGTTTGGTCTGTCTTCCCATGTGCCATAATCTTCATGAGCATTAGATATATCCAATTTCTTGAAGCTCTTTATTAATATAGCTCTTCTAATCAGAGAATAGCGAATAAATTAGTAAGACGAAAACAATTGCTGCATGGATGAATCCAGTTTAAAAGTTAGGAAAGCTTGCTTTGTGAAAGTCTTGAGGAAAGAGAAAAATACGCAAATACTTAAAAATCGTGTGCTAAAATGTTAAGAAGAAAAGTACTCGAGAAAAATATGCCAGTAAATACGGCATTTAGCTTGGAAATATTTTCCGGATTCATTTGCTGATTTTAGTCTTCTTCTAGATTCTCCTAGATTCCTAAATTCATAACATAATCTTAATTGTCTTATAAAAGTCTAATTACTTAGTTAGCAATTAACTATCTAAAGTTGGAGCAGTAGAAACAACATCGCACTGCCAATGCTAGAGGAAAGAAAACACTTTAGCATGTAACAAAAAATGACTAAGTGCAGCAGCAGTAGAAATACAGCCAAGGATTATGAGGTAGAAAGGGATAAAAACAGACAGAAAGCGTTGATAGTGAGCACAAAAAATTTAAAGTAAGAAAATAAAAAATATATAAAAAGCATGCACAAAGCTGTTCTCTACCTAGCATTTCAGACCAAGGAGATCATATGACGATATTAAAACGAATTGGGGTGTTTCTTTTGTTCTTCTGGAAGGTAATGCCAAAATACTTAAATAAAAATTATGTACAAAAAGGCACTGGGTTACTTGAAAATTATGTTTTATTTAATTAAATAATGAAATGAGGTAATTTCTATTTTTTGTTTATTATAAAGCACATTAAATTGCATTTTTAATGATTTACAATCATAACAGAAAAAGTATACCAAAAGAAATAACTTAGATTACTTTCAGTTTAGAAAAGGAGAAAGTTAAAATCAGAATTATTGAATAATTATTCACTTGTAATAATGCTTCTATATTACATATTATTTTCATAATACAAGTAGAGCTGATTCAAAGTTTTCTAGTAATACATTATTAAAAACTATGGTAAGATCTGTTTATTCATATATTCATAAAAATACGAAAAATTTAAAGCGTGCGAGATCTTGTTTTAGCAGCGGTGAGTATGGTATAGTTACAACGATTTAAAAAAAAAAAAACTTAGTTTGGAAATAAGGTATAAGTTCTTTTAGGCAGCATACTGCAAACGTGATCATTAATTTTTTAAAATTAAATTCACAAGCTTGGGTTGAATAAGAAAGCATGCTAATAAAAACTGATTTACTTTTTTTATGTTCCGAACTGAAAATGTATCTTAATTATATTTTAAGAGATTTGTAATACAAAATAGTTTTTTTAGTTAATGCCGTTAGAAATCATTTTTTATCGTAAAAGGTTGATTTTTATTTACTATAAATTCTATTTTTAATTGTGTTTCAAAACTGTGATTTTTGTGTATGCAGTTTTAACATCAAATGTTGTAAAAAATTTAAATTTGAATTATTTCGCTATCTATGTTTGATGAAAAAATCAAAGCGATGAATTCTGAAATAATTCTAATAAATTCTGCATTTAAAATTCATCTGCTCTAAAAACGTAAAACTAGTTTTTATAAGGTGAAGTGAGGTGAGCGCAGACTGGTTTCTGTAAAGTTGGAATTTCAACCAGTGTGTTTTCAGTTTAGTGTATAAACACTTAACATTCTCGATATCAAACGTTTTGCAGAGTTATTACTGTTTAATTTATATCAAATAGGATTGTAAGTATCCTTGTATATTTCATTTTAAAAGGATTTTGTACAAAATGTCAACTACTCGGCACTTGTCCCCGAAAATGGAGCAAAAGGGTAACTGATTTAAAAATTCTTTGAAACTTTTTTTCATGTGCAACAGGGCAAGAGGAGAATTATTTACAAGGCTACTATAAAATGCTTTGTTGATTTAAATGAGGAAAATACGTTCATTCTTGCGTGACATCGGTGCCGAATAGCACATATTAACTTGTAGTAAATTATTACATACTAGGTAGAGAAATTTTGCTCATATTATAATAAAAGTAACTTGTGCACCCAATTCTCTCTGTTCTAAACTTCACCCAATTCACCTAATATAAAATAACATTTGCCCTGAATATTACTGTCATGATAGTAAATGCATGTAACGTCATATGCTCTAAAAATTGATTTCACATTTTATAAATGCGTGAAAATAATCATCTAATGAGAAAACGAAGTTTCGGGTTTATGAATTCGTGTCAAATGTCATTTGCTATTAGAAGTAATAAAAGTATAAGCAAATAAATATAATAAAAAACAGATTTCTTATCACTAAATAATGGTAAGTTCTCAGAGGGACGTTTTTATCACGTGATCTCTTTGGTCTCATTATTGCTACTCGTGATGAGTCCTATCTAAATTAGAGTGAGGGATATGAATTACCCCTTTGATTTACCCACCTTTAAAGCCCACGATTCCCCGCAATATTCGAACAAATAGCTGAAAGGTCCCGTGCTTTGAGTGAGCGAGGCCAGGTTGTGCATCTGTAAAGAGTGAGAAAGGACAAAATTGAAGATGGGACCTAAGTCATATACATCTTTTTTGCAGTAAGCTCTTCACTAGCTTCGCCTACTATCTACTACTCTATGCTCTATCGGCTATGTCTATTTTAAGTTCTCACTGTAGCAAATATTCTTAGTAATATTTCACTTGATTAATATCTATGTCATATCACATTTGATTAGTTCATTTTCCTTTATCTTAGACAGCGAATTCATTACTTATTATGTAAAATTTATTTTCATTGATAATGATATATTTTAGATATTTTTAAATTCAGGATTTTTATAATAATGAAACAAAAACATTTATCATACTCATTATACTGTATAGAAATTTAGGATGTCATTTGATGATATAAATTATTTATATTTCTGAATTTTTAATGATTGTTTTTCTTAAATATCTTTGAACTGTACATGTAGTATTTAATTCATGTTTGATATTTCTTTAACATTATCAACCAAATTACAACAAAACTAAGTTTAATTATAAAAAATATTGCGTTTTTTTATTTCTTATCTTTTTTTAGTCCATATGTAATTTATTGTATATTCAGTACTCGTCATTTAACAACTGATCTTTAGTAATTGAAAGTTAATACCTGAAAGGCTAACTGGAAAAAAGTTTGATTTTTCTTTCAAAATTAAGGAAGTATTTTATCTTTAAGAGCATTTAACGATCTGGGCAGTCAACAAATGTTAAGAGAATTTTTAATACCTTTACATTTAATACGCTAATTTAATTCATTAATTTTCATACTTTTAATAATTCATTCAAAACCTTTAATTGCATCAGAAGCTTTTAATGAATCACCTTTTCTTGACTTTTAACTGTAGAAAAGAAAATGGCATTTAAAAGCTTAAGTATGAAATTAATAACCGAGGCTATAAAAGTGTGGTTGCAGAACTATTTGCGGTGCAGAAGCAAAGATTATGTGCATAATTTTGTTTTATCATTATTTCCTTTACTAGACATTCCTTTACTAGCTACTAAATGACTTTACCAGAATTAATTCAACCATTACATACGTTATAAAAATTAATAACTCAAGCATTATTCAAGATTCTATATCACTCATTTATTTGATCATAAGAAATTTTGATGTTAACTAATAACTTAAATTTCATGTTAACTAATGATCTGGAACATATTAATTTTAACAAAATTTTCGCTTATTAAAAACTTTTTTAATCACTAAGATTTTGAAATATAATAAAAAATCCTTTTTAAAATTAATTGTTTGGTCTGTGTGCTTACTTTTTTATCAAATGAAAAACATATCTTCACTGCACTCATTACTTACATTTGTATTAATTCTTTAGTACGTTTGTCTAGTTTTGATTTAGTAAGAAATATATTACATTTATTTCCATTGTTGCTTTTATAATGTCCAGATTGTGATTTTATAGCTTAAATTGTTTTACCATGTGTATTTTTCTAAATAATTTAACATTATTTTTCTATGACATTCAATGAAATTACTTTGATTAGTACTTAATTAATCAATGAAGTTTATCAAATATATAATCGCATAATGAATAATATAAATATCCGAATGTATATTACTACTTTTTGGAATCAAAATTTTCTTCATAAATACAAAGTTATTAAACTTTTTCGAAAATTAATATTAGATATATATGTGGGAGACTTATTTAAATTCCTTTGCGTTGAATTATATTTCATGAAGTTAAGAAAAATTGAGCTAGAAAATAACATGCATGGTTTCTTTAAATAAATTAATGATAAAACTCTGATTTTAATTTAAAACCTACCAATTTAATTTTATTTTATGTTTTACATTGCTTTCAAACTATTAGTGTAGCTCACAATATTTTATTTCTATTTTATTGTAAACAGAAAAAAAGAGCAAATATTATGATACAAAATTTTATTTTCATATTCAAGAACATAGCATTTTATTGGAAGACATAATATGTATGAAATAAAGCTGTGTTTTTCGATGCAACTAGAACACATATTTAAAGAGAATATATTATAATACTCAATGAGACTGCTTATAGAAGGATGCACATTCACATTAAGATTAAATGAAATTTCAAAATAAAATAAACGAGTAAAATTTCATTTTAAAGTAATACATACACAAATCATATTCATGCGAATAAAACGAAGTATGCAGGCCACTGAGCATTAAAAAGAGGAGTACGAAGCATACAAACACTGAACACGACATTGAGTGCTTACCTGTATGTGCACCGGTAGGCAGTGCGAAGTTCCTGAAGCTGATATATTAAGTAAAAAGAAGATTAATTTTGTAGTAATTTAATATATGATGCGGTAAATGTATAAGAATGATCCATGCATTCATTCAAAGAATTATTATTATTCTTTTTTAGTTTGAAGCATGTAACTGAATTACGAAAAGTATTATATTATTAAGTTATTATATTCAAAAGGTGGCATTATATTACTGAGTTATTATGTATAAAAGCTATTATATTACTGAGTTATTATGTAAAAGGTATTATATTACTGAACGATGAGAAGGTATTATTAGCATACAAGTATTACACACCTAAACAAGCATTATTAGGTGTCAAATTATGAACGTAAAAAATCTTCTTCTACAGAATTAAAAATTATTTTATTATTTATTTTTATATCATTTTACGAATTAGATAAATTAATATATCAAACTGTTTCAAACTGCATTTGATTGCTGTAATCAGCTATGCTTTCCTCCTGTGAATAATATGTAATTTAACCTTAAATTTCATCGCACAATGTACAGTTAAACTGTAAAAATTAACATTCAACAGTACACTTTACTTGAAGTTAACGTCAATGATTATACTCAGCGTATAAGGAAATTTTGCGATTTCAGTTTGCTTTTCTGCAAAAATTAGATTATCTTTCTCTTTTTAAAACATTGTTAACAGAGAAATTTAATCAGAAAAGTATTACGGTTTTTCTAATATTTATAATTGTTTCTATGGTTTACACTCTCAAAACTGAGGAAGAAATGTTTTAAAAGATTGTATCAACGTTTAAAATCGTTTCAAGAACTCAAACATTTCCTAACGTTATTCAGAAAAAATAATCCTTACGAGTAAAAAAAATAATTTTGTTGCGCATTAATATAAAATGTTTACAAACTACGGGATGAATGGAAATCAACATGTTATTTTGCCATTAATTAAAACAAACAACCAAATACGGTAAAGAATTAGTATAATAACCAAATACGGTATAAATATAGTAACCAAATACGGTAAAGAAGTAGTATTAATTTGGTTTTCTCCTTCGAAACATTTTTACTTAATTCGCCTTAGTAGACGTTAGACAATTAAGAGTTATGAAAAATTCATTAATGAGATAAAATAATTATTGTGTTGTTCAATTCACTGAGCAAGATTCACTGAATAAAAACATCATTCAGATTAGTTGCACATAGTACTACAAAGCTATTATCTCTTGTCAAATGATGTTGAAGGCCAGTTTACAGAGGTGACAAATTATGAATTTTTGGTGAAATTCGAAGGAAAATTAGTATAAAAGAAATTAACTTCCCCAGTTTCATGAAAAAAGACGAAATTACAAGCGGTATCTTTAATCAAGGCTATCACTGGTTTTCTTAAGTGGCCGAGGGTTACCTAACAGGCCATGTGTCACATCATTTTGACAGCATCCAATATTATTTCAAATAGGAATACTATTGTTGTAAGGAATTACCTGCGATATGCTGAATACCATAAGGACTGCATATCCAATGACAAATAAAAGTTTTCACGAATTTACCTTATTTGGTGGCGTTATTGTTTTGCATAATATAGAACAACGAATGAACGGACGCATAAAAATTACTAAATTATTATTTATATAATAAAATACAATATGTTGTGACATGTTTGCTTGTTTTTAAATAAAAACATTTATGATTAAATTTGTTGTCATATAAATTGATATCAATTTTCTGATTATTGTCGGTCGTAGAAATACTTAACTATAACCCTTTGAAATGTGACTCTTTTTCGCACAATGCCGAAGCTATTCCGTTTTGATAGAAAAGTTAAATATTTTATTCTGATCATAAATTTAGCTTAAAATTTTATAACGAATGCAGATGTTTCTGATTTGTTTTGTTACTTGCAATGTAACTCATAACAGAAATATTATGAGTTACGAAGATATTCTGGTTCAGTTAGAATTGTTTTAATTCATTTGTTGAAAGGAGACTCGAAACTAGAAGTTTATTAAATGAACTTATATTTACCTACTCTCAGGTCATGATCGCACAAACGGACATCTTTTACTGTTTTGCTTTGAAAAAATGAAGGTAAAACTATTAAATACTCAGCGAATTTATATTGTGGGATACAGGACGAAATTCAGAAATTCAAAATAGGTATTTCATTATAACAACCAAATACGACAGCTACCTGCTTTCGTATTTGGTTGTTAGATTTCGTGCAAGACTATTGAAGCAAAATAAATTCTCATATTATGTATTATTTTACAAAGTCAGCAAAAAGTCCCTGGAAATCTTGAGCATTTTCAGAAATAATTGAGAAATTAGCTCGTTTATTTCATCCAATATACTTGATTTTTTTTCGTATGTTAAAAGTGAAGAGATAGTACCTATATTCTTTTATAATTGAGAGTGGATACAAATGTTTTATAATTGATTCATAGTAGTAATACAAACCTATAAGTTTTTTGCAAAAATCAAACTTTAGTTGATCCGTACTTTTACTTTTAAAATTTTTTTAAATTAGATTTGCCACTTCAGAAGTGCACAAGTTAATTTACACTCATGTCCATAAATTAAGGATAATGCAAAATCAGGCAAAGGAAGAGTTAGAAGCAAAACAAATTTGACTTATTTGTAAAGCTTATTTATTAAACAAAAGGTAAAGTGCAAAAAAGATGCTATATGTTTGATATTATTAAGAAAATTAGCGATTTTTTCTCCCTGGAGCAAATTACAAAAAATACCTATTTACAAAAAACCAATATT